AGCTTTTGAATTTTTGAATACTCATTTTGTAAATTATGTATACTCATTTAGTATATCTGTTGTGCTCATTTTTAAAATGTTTTAGCAATGCTCATTTCAAAAGTCTCATATTACATTATTAGATTTATATAAGAGTTGATTATAGACACGAGACCACAAATCATGATACTCAATCGCAGATTCTAATACTCAATAACAGAGGTTTGATGCTCATTGAAAATGTCTTGATGCTCAACGAATAAAACTTATATTTTCCATATCAATGCTCATCTTGTAAGTTACATATGCTCATTTGTATAGGTCTGATGCTCATTAAAAATTCATTAATGCTCATTTCATACAAATCATTATTTTCATCTCAATATAGGAGGTTTGATGCTCAATGAAAATGTAATGATGTCCAATTAACATGATTTTTTATCAATGCGCATTGTGTAGCTACACATGTTCATTTGGTACTATTTTATGCTCATATGTAAAATGGCATATCAATGCGAGTGTAAAATGTTCAACGAAAAATTTACAATGTTCATATCGATGCTCATCTTGTAAGTTACGCATGCTCATTTGTATAGGTCGAATCCTCATTAAAAAGTCATTAATGCTCATTTTACAGAAATCATGATTATCATCAATCTCAATAGAGGATGTTTGATACTCAATGAAAATGTCGTGATGTTCAAATAACAAAGCAGCTAACAAATTCATTAATACTCATTTTGTAAGTTACGTATGCTCATCTGGTAGAGATTTTATGCTCATTTTCTAAATGTCATATCGATGCATTTTTTAAAGTACTATTTTACATTAATTCACATATTGAAATTCACAGGAGTTGATTATAAATATAATTTAATAAAATTTTATAAAAGAAAAAATAACAAAAAGAAAGTGAATTAGAAGTTATGAAGCGGAGATCAAAATTCTCAATATTAGACTCCTAATACTCAACAGAATGGGAATGATGCTCATTAAACGTTTATTATTGCTCATTCACTAGAAACCGTGAATTTCATCTCAATAGCGGATGTTTGATGCTCAAATATTAAATGTGAATATATAAGACGTGAAATGAGTATCAAAAAGTTCAAAATGAGCATTACGCCAATATGCATGGATATGACATTTAAGTTGTCTCGTGTAATGCTCATTTTAAAATGAGCATTACACCAATATCAAATGAGCATATCTAATTTACGAAATGAGCATAGAAAAAATTTAAAAGCTCATTTAAAATCTCGAGTATGCTTAAATATCAATTTGTATATTCAGTATGCTCAACAGAATAGGTCTGGTGCTCATTAAAAGTTCATTATTACTCAATCTCCAGAAATCGTGATTTTCATCTCACTAACACCATATAAAAAAATTATAAACATATTTATATAAAGTAATAGTATGATTCATAGATCAAATAAATACTTCAAAAATATGAATTAGTCTTTTAATATAGTAATAATGAGCAAAAGCAAAAGAATAGTTAATATTATAATTACTATTAATAATACGCAGTATGAAACTATATAGGATAAGTAAAATAAATGAACTGATTATCTCAACAAGACAAGTTAGCGAGATGGTTGGAAGGCTGCTTATCCTACTTCATGTCGCGGGATTGAATCCTGCTAGGGTTTTAATTTTTTTTAGTGAAGGAATTCAGTTCCTAGTGGCCGTGATTCGTTGGGAGCCCACCAGTCAAATTTAATAATTGGGCTGGATGTACTCCGTAGTTATTACTACGTACTACGTATGTGTCAGCTAGCGATTGTCTAAATATGGTTACACGTGTAATAAATTGTCTTGAATGATGACATCAGCATGACTTAATTGTGACGTCATGTCCAGGCGGTAAAATGTTTTTGCCTCACGGCCCAATTTTTATATGTTGTTTTATAATTGACTTTTTTCACTATTCATATTTTATACTTTGATTATATTTTATTAATTAATATTCTGTATATTATAAATTATTTTTTTAAAAAATATTATTAAATTTTTCTCATTTTAAATTTTCAAAATATGAATTTTTTAATTTTTTTACTAATAAGAAATAAAAGATATTAATGATTAAACTTGTGCGTTGGCAAACATGAAAGTTGACTGTTGCAATTAAAAGGGAACGAAAGAAGTATAAAGATGAGACTAATATAAATATAAAATGTCTCCACTAACCATAGGGCAGGGGGAAAATATCGAAATTTCGGAAATCATATTGAAAAATATCAGATTTACGGAAATTTTAGGTATGTTAATGGTAGAATAGGAAGATAGGAAAATTTATAGAAAAATATCAAATTTACAGATTTTTTTTGTAAAAGTTACAATATTTTTATTATTTATATTTTTATTACAAATTAAAATTAAAATATAATTATCCTATTAAGTGATGGTAAAGCTAAGGTAGAATAGGAAGATAGGTATATTTTAGTCTTATTTGGAAAAGATAATTAATATAGTCATGTTTGTACATTTAGAGATTAATATAGAGTCCTATTTAGCGTTATTATCTCTAATAATACTAGGTACTACGTAATAGTGAGATGGCAATTAAGTAACTACATTTAAATAACATGACTGAAACAAGAATGGGGTAATTAAAAATCAGCTATATCTTTATTAGACATTTAAACACACCATTATGAATGATTTCATAATCATTGGAATGTCTCAGAAATATTTTGAATACACCTAAAGTTCTATTAATTCTAGATAAATCAATTGAATACAACTAAGAGCATCTTCAATGTTAAAACGTTAACGGTGCATACGTGGCATGAGAAACAACCAATTAAAAATCAATAAATAGAATCTCTCTCTTCTTATTTAAAGGATTTTACATCATTTTGGTAAGTTTTTCTTCACAATGTCAAGCACAATGTCTAGATGTCGACATTGTGGTTGACATTGCAGACACAAACTTACCAAAAACGCATAAGACCGTGGAAAAAAGGAGAGAGAAATGTCATAAAATCAATATTTTGTGTCTATATCTCTCATGCCACATGTGCATCGTGCACATTGTAACATTGGAGATGCTCTAAACTAAACTTTAGTAGATTTATTAATGACTTTTTAAAGCGTACACTGATTATTTTCTTCTTCATAAATCAATATTCACTATTATTGAAATTCATAGCCATTAATTCGCAATATACACTAGTCAATCCACCCGTGCGTTGCACGGAGAACAAATGAAATCAATTTATTGTTACAAATAATTTATTTCATGAGTAATGTGTATATACATACTTATTGTATAAAAATACAAACATGATATGGAATCATATTAGAATACATGTATGATAATTGTTAGAGATACACCAATTAGTATAAAACTACCAAATAAGTATTCTTTCATCACATACATATATTGTCTAATGAAGACGATAACGATTGTTATCATATTACAATCTCATATGTAGTATGGAGTATTATTTAGTTATAATTATGATGATTTTTCAACACATGACATTACTTTTTACTATCTTGTTGTGTTTTAAAGTTTCTAAATATATTCCATCTAAAAAGTGAAAATATTTATTTTATACTCCGTAATATCTCTTCATTCATCTCAATATATGTTTTATAAAAGCTACAGATCAAGATTGTTAAAATCACTGTATGTTTTATAAGAACTACATATCAATGTTGTTAAAGTCGCGAGTTGAATCGTAAAATTGTATAATTCAATATCATTGAACCAATTTGACTCATAAACAAAACTGGAAATGCTAAAAATCATTTCAAAATAAGGAAACATCATTAAAAAAATGTGATTTTAAAGGATGTTTAAAATAGTTACTTGTTTACAACAATTCATTAGGTTGGCACTTAATATGGTTTCACTAAGTAATGCTTCATTAATAGTGACAACAATTTTCTAAAGTTTTATTTGTAACTTACAACAATTAATTAGGTTGGCACTTAATATGGCTTAATTAAGTAATGCTTCATTAATAGTGACAACAATTTTTCACTTCTTTTGGCTCCAAATAGATTTCTATTTGGATTTCCACCATGTTCCCTTTATATATATAAAGATTAGGCCATGCATGTAGGTCAAGAATATTCGCTTTCCAAAACATCATATACAAGTACTCGAAGCATTTCTTTTGCTCCTATCTCACAACCCTCAAATTTTTTAGTCATATGTAATCAACAGGTACGCAATCATATTTGGTGATTGGGAAAATGTGAGAAGCTCTATACTGTTTATTCTACTAGGCATTTCTTAATTTGGGTCAGAGATGATGTTTACCTGACACGTGCATCTCAAGCAACTACAAGAGGAAAAAAACATGTTACAGTGGAAGAAATAATTAAAATACTATCAAATAAAGTAGAATAACTTGAAAAAAAAAATTAAAATCGAAAGAAAGTGTTATGCAATCATTTATAAAAAAAATTAAATTACTGCCAATTATGTAAAATAACTTTTGGTTAAAAAACTAGTTTGGCTCTATACTGTTTATTCTACTACGTACGTAGTATTTTTTAATTTGGTCAAACGTGATTTGGAGTTCATTCAATTTAAATTCCATGAGTACGTGATGAGTGCCCGATTTTTCCTTCCCAATTACAGGAGAAATCGGATTACGTGACTTTTTGGGTTTATTTTAGCCCCTAATCTAAACGAGCTTACAGTGAGCGATTGAAATTGTGGTTTTAAAAATGGGAAAATTTCTGAAAATAGGAGTACATTTTTTTTGAAAATTCCAAAATAGGATTGTCATGTTTTTATTCCCAAAATAAAAGTTATTATTGCCAAGTTTCAAAAATACTACCATGTTTAAAGTCTGATACTGCAAAAATATAGCAATAATTAGTCTTATTTTGATAATAATAAAAGCAAGATAATCATATTTTGGAATATATAAACCTTTTAATCCTATTTAGGGTAATTTCCCCTTAAAAATCCATTTTGACTTTAATTTAGAAGATGAGTGAATGATAAAACAAGCAATAAGCAAGTAGAAGATGATGTAATTGGTTGAATAGACACAAAATAGAATTCTGCCCCGCCTCCTCATATATATTTGATTGAATTAATGAAATTCTTTATTTGTTTACTCATTTTTCCTCCATATGTCATAGACAGACGGCTATGGATCACCAGCTTGGGAGGTTGCCTGCCTATCACTCTTTGAAGAGATTCGGGTTGGAGATTGAGAGCGAGGGTGCTCCTTCAGCCATGACACAACAACATCTTGACCACACTCTTTCACCAAACTCTGATCGTGTGATCAATTACATTAACAAGGTACTACTAGAGCAGGACATTGACGCAAATAATGATGACTTGTTCTGTGATCATATTGCGCTAAGAGCCGCTGAGAATTATTTCTATGAAGCATTGGGCGAGAACCCCTCATTTGAGAGCAGAGACGAAAGTCGAGAAGACATCTTAGTTGGGACTTCCACTTGTGATTCTAATCCCGGAGAGTGTAAACCATACGGCACAAGTGATCCTCCTCATGTTCATCCACTCGTCTTCACCACCTCATCAAGCTAACTTGGATGGGTTAAATAGTTCTATATATAGCTCGGACGAGAGTGCTAATTTGGTTCCACATTTATTTTTTGATGACCAAATTGCATCCATTTTACCATTTCAGAGAGGCGTGGAGGAATCTAGAAGATTCTTTGGCGCCATTAATCCGATGGTCATCCATCTTGATAACAAATACTTGATGCAACCGGAAATGACCAAGGAATTGATTATTGGTAGTGCGGTGAGTACAGAGAGGGAGGATCATAGAGTTGGTGCTTGTAAGGGAAGGAAACATGACCGTCCAAGTGAAAACAAAGATGAGGAAAGGAGCTGGAAGCAAAGTGCAACTTACGAGGAGGAAGTTGAGTTATCAAAGGTGTTTGATAAAGTTTTGTTGTGTTGATGATAGTGATAATTTCCCACAAGTTGGAGTGTGCAAACGGAAAGGAAGAAATGGTGGCAAGAGTTGTTCAAATAAACGAGGAAATGGTTATTAAAATGTGGATGTGGTGCTCAAATGTGCCAAATCTATTGGGGTTGCCGATTACAACACAGCTGTAGAACAACTAAAGGAGATTAGGCAGTACTCTTCGCCTGACGGGAATGCAAATCAAAGGTTGGGACATACATACATTTGCTAATGGTCTTGAGGCACGGTTGGGTGGAACTTGGTCACAACTTTATCCTTCATCATCATTTCGCAATGAAATCACAGTTTCTGAATTTCAAAAGTCTCACATGTCATCATCTATGCCATTTATGAGGATAATAATCTTCTGTGCGAACAAAATGATTTATCAAGAGGCAAATCATTGCACGTTATAGATTTTTGTATTCTTTATGGTATCCAATGACCCACTCTTATTCGGGATCTTTCACAAAGACCCGGTGGCCCTCCAAAACTTCGCATAACAGGGATTGACCTTCCCCAACCTGGTTTTCGTCCATCGCAAATGGTAGTCGAGACTAGTTATTGCTTGGCTAGATATTGCGAGAGTTTTGGTGTGCCATTTGAATACAATGCCATAACAGCAACAAATTGGGAGGAATTAAGATTAGTGACTTGAAGCTCCAGAGGGGTGAGGTAGTTGCTGTTAACTCTATTGATCGATTCAAACTCATACTAGATGAGACAGTATATGTTGAGGACAACCCCAGGGATGCTGTTTTAAAGTTAATTCGTGACGCAAATTTTTGTGCATTCAGTGCTTAGTTCATCTCACACCTCTCCTTTCTTCGTCAGTCGGTTCCGAGAGGTTCTCTACTTCTACTCTGATGCCTTTGATATGTTTGCAACTTTTTTCCCAAACCATGATACTCATAGGTTGAATTATGAACAATCATTGATGGGCCCTATAATAGGAAATGTTATAGCATGCAAGGGAAGGGAAAGATTTGAGAGGCCCGAAACATACAAACAATGGCAAACTCGCACTATGAGGACTGGGTTCAATCCTCTACCTCTCAACCCTAAACTTATGAGAAAGTTAAGAGCCAAGGCAATGGAAGCATGTTACAAAGACATTTTATTTTCTGAAGATGGCCCTTGGGTGTTGCAGGGATGGAAAGGCCGGGTTATGTTTGCCACATCTGCCTGGGTCACTCGCATGCGGTAATCATAAGATACCTAAATGAACGTTGCACCTAAGAAGCCTCAAAACCACCCACATCTCATGTCCTATAATTTTCGGAAATTTAGACACTTTAAATTCCCATTTCATGATTATTGTTTCCTTATTAATTAGCAATTTTAATTCTCATTTTTAATTCTCGTATAGTAGTTGAACGTGCAATGGTTTGTTGTCATTGCGCGGCTGCGCCTAGCTCTTGAGATGTTCTATCTAAACTAATTTGTCATATTTTTTCATGATTTCTTGCTCATTATTGTTGTCTTAAACAACTACGAGTTCTCCTCATATTTCTTAAAGTAATAACTCGGAGAAATTATCTTTCTAACAAACTCTTCATACTTGTGTACAAAATAATTAAATTCAACTTTAAATACTTACTAGTTACTTGGAAGATGAGGAGCACGTGTACGGTGCCAAATAAAGCTACTGGACAACCTGGGATCTTTGCTCTTATACCAAATTTGTAACGCCCCTCTTAGGGTTAAAAGAAATGTTACATTAACTTACGACTTTAAAAAACTGCAATATAACGACCATTTCTTTAAGAAAATAACCCTGATAAAATCTCAAAAGTAACTAAAATAGTTCCAAATAAAAATTTAATAAAATCTAGTTATCACTAGCAAATGTGATCTGGATCCAGGAATTAACTCAAACTTCAAATCTTTAAAGAAAATAAAGTACTAATAATCATTTTATTATATCTGAAATTCTCAAATAAAATAACAACTAGCTAGAAGCCGCCAAGGTCATTTCCCTTAACTCATTTGGGCATGTGTTTCATTCCATCGTCATATTCCTAGATAGGCCTTAGTCTTACCTTTAATATTTGTACATGTGAAGAAAGAAAACCATAGCTCTATGCTCAGTAAGTCACTATGGATCCACAAAAATATCTGAGAAGTCTATGCTAATTTATCAATAGATAAATTTAGACCATAAACATGCACTTAACAAATAACTTCTCAAATAGATAATGAAAGAGATCCAAAAAGAATATACTTTCTTAAATAATTTCTTAAAAATTGCTAAGAGATCTCAAAAATCTTGCTGAAATAACTCTGATATGACTTGTGAAAAGATATCAATATACTTTCTCAAAACATTTCTGTAAACCTTTTTGAAAACTCTTAGTGGCTAATTTAAATGTGCACTACTTAAATAATTGCTATTTGATGTGGCCATTTTAACCTATTTCTTGCGCTTCCGACCCGCAGCAATCGGCAGCGCTGGAAATAGTAGGAATAACTATTTGCTGCGGTTCGGAACCGCAACAAATAGCTAATTTAAAAAACGTAAAATTCACATAATAACAAATAGTCTAAAATCATCTATATTAAAAATCAACCAAACTTTTTTCTTTCATTTGGTTGAACAAACATGTATAGGTGGTAGTGAACTTATCTGTTAGAAGCTGAACTCAAATTACTCAAATAAGTGTGGCACCTTGATAATGTCTCCTGGTAAGCCCTTCCTTAATAATCTTTAATTAAATGTAATTTTTTTGAAAATGTAATTAAATGTAATGATATAATAAGAATCTTTAATAAAATGTAATTACTACCTCCGTCCCAAAAAGAGTTGCAAATTTGACTTTTCTTAGTCAAACAGTCTCGTTTTGTTCACTTAATTAGGATGTCAATTTTTAATTATTTTCTAATTTGGAGTTTACAACTTTGAAGAGATTTTAATGTAGTTTTTGAATATGTAAATTTTAATTATTAAAAATTGAATTAATTATTCATAGGGAGGGTTGACTTTTATTATTGGTTGACCAAAAAATGTTGACTTCGCAAAACAAATTGGGACGGAGGGAGTACATAATAAGAATCTTTAGGAAACAATGGCGTAATGTTGGTTTTTTAATAAAACTTTTATAGTACAAATGAGACAAGATTAAGATAGTGTGTATTGTGTGATAAAAAGTTGTGCAGAAAAGAAAAAATTTATAAAAAATCATCCGAACTACAAATGTTTTACCAAAAAAAATGAAAGTTTAATTGAGACAGAGAAAAAAAGAAATTTGAAAGTTTATTTAGAAATCAATTTTAAAGAAATGTGTTGACTTGACTCTGTCAACTTAGTAACAATTAAATATGGAGTAATAATTGGTATAAATATAGAAAACCTACCAACTTTTTTCAACTATTGAGCACCGTTCTGCATCTAGTCAGTGATCAGCCCCAGGATAACGAAACCGGACGCAATCTTGTCCCCGTACATATCTTTGATTTTCTGGCCCTATTTGTCCGGTCATTTTCACGTGTCCCGCTGGGCGTTGACTTAATAGCTGCTACGACTTTTCTCCCCGACGACTTTATAGCCGAACGCTTTTTCTGTAATTTTGTCTCTTCTAGGACTTCATAAATTAATTAATGCTCCGTAATTGAATTTTATAATGCGTAGTAATACAGCCTCTCCTCTGAATTCAATCACTCACAATTTTGAATTTTTCCGGGCTTTGAAATATATAAAAATCAATTAATAAAATAATGATTGCTTTTATTTTTTAATTTGAATTTCTAGGTAAAATTTTATTTTTGTGCGTAATTATTTAACATTATGACCATGAACCCATGATTCGTTGGAGAAGATAAAAACAGTCCACTGCATTTTCAACTCTTAGCGTCAGATTCATTGAACGTGGACGGATTTCCGACCCGGTTCGGTTCTTTCATCTTTTGACCGTCCAAAAAGCATTTCGGTGATTTACTCATTCTGTAATTCCGATCCACATACAAATCCAGAGCATATAAATTTACCCGTTTTCACCCTTTTTTCTGTTTGTTTGCCTTTCTTCTACAGTGAGGTGAATGGGGTGGGGGCCCCACTCAATTTCTCGCACCTGACGTGTCATCCACTATCAATGGCGTTCAAGGAAGGCTTATGAAGGACGGAGGTGAGAAAATGCGCCCTTTTTTTTGGCGTGTGTATGTTTTTTATTCCCTGTGATCCATGAATGGGGTTATTAAAAGGTTGTTCTTAAATTCATTTGTTGTTATTCCATGTCTGTTCGAGGTTTTTGGGTGTTAAAGGTAATCTTTTTTGGGATTATCAGAAAGCTGCCAAACAGCTTTTAGCCTACTAATTAATGTTAATTTGTTCATATCCAAGAGAACATGGGTGGATACTTTTGGTGGGAAAAGTTGAAAAGGTTTTTGAAGGAGAAGAGCTGCATTAGTACATTTTGGGGAATCATGTCATGCACTCATACATTAGAATGAACACTTCTGAGAATTATTCTACAGAAATGGTTGAAGATGCTGAATTTTCTGAGTAAAATGTGTTTGGTATAGTACTTTTTGGAACAAATTGGTCAAATCAAAGTATATTTATTCTCCTTATTTTGCTAGTAAACAAAATACACCTATTGATGCTGCCAAACGGGGCCTGATTTGAGATTTTGAGCTACTGTTTCTTTGCTGTGCCCCCACAGCCAAATGTGGTTGAATTAGACATTTCTTTCATCCAAAAAGATTAGTCCCCAACCCCAAGAGCCCCAAACCTGACAAAGCATATGGAAAGTTGTAAAACATGGTGTCTTAGTCGGTCCAAGAGTGTTAAACCTTAGTTATTCGTCCAAACTCCCCACCGCTCAACTAACTGAGCTACTAGAAGTATTTTGCATTAGCTTTCACAACTTCACTCTTTGATATACAAATTATTGTTTTGTGCTCTGATTTTTAGGAGTTCAGACTTCACATGGGACAACTATAGTAAAAGACAAATCAATCCCCTTTTTCAAAATTCTTTTTCCTCATCATCTTCACTTAAATGTCTAACATTTGTTAACACTATAAACTTACAAGAAGAAGACAATTGGCAAAGTTTTATTCTTTATGTTGCAATCTTCTAAGGAAGGAATAATGGGATGAAATTCTAAAACTGTATTGCAGCAACATTGATGCCATAAAGTGAAACATGCAAATGATGGAACGTGACCATAAGATTTGCGTGCTTTCTTTTTTCAATTGGAAGACTATAGAAATATAAAATATGTTTAACTTCAACTCTTTTCATATTTATATTGATCATGGTAGGTGGGTTAGGTAGAGTTACATCAATGAGTATGAAATGATGACAATCATGTGGTGGGGATAGGGAATGAATAGGTCTTGACATGGTGATAGTAAATGAAGGGTCCTGTTTGTGGTTTTCAGAATGAAAAAAGGCTGATGGAAAACTGATTTCCATTTATGGAAGAAAGGAATATGTTCCTTAGCTATTAAAAAAGCAATTTTTTCAAGAAATAAATTACAAATTTTTAGTTTTGGAGGAGGTCCTAAGTTCTTGCAGTACTTGAAAAGGAATTAGACCCATTTATTTAAGTTAATACTCAATTATATAGGTCAAGCAGGACACCTCTTTGAGGTCAATGCTTTGCTTCAAATGTGAATCATCACTAGTGGATGATTCTAACTTAGTGGCTGATATTAATCCAAATTGCACTGAAAATGTAGTTTGGTAATTGCCCTTTGGAAGACTTGAACTTTCAAAGTCTTCAGAATCTTCCAACTCATCTTAGGCATTTTTTTATGTGTGAACGGCTGGCTGCATTTTTTCCCCTTCTATTTAAGGACAACTAAAACTGTTATTCATGGCAATGGTGTAGGAATAATTTCGGCGACTCAAAAACGTGTTATTTTTTAATTATTAAATGTAGTTTGCTTGCTATGTTTACTATATTTGACCAAGCTGATGGATCAAATGCAGGTGAATTAAGATAGAGATTTTTTTATTTATAAGCTTGGAAATATATTAACATACAGTGGAGACAGGCAAAAGAGAAGAGATGGACATAAGGAGTTTGTCATCTTCTCAACATGAAAACACACCGTATATTCACAAGGTGGGGGCCCCACGAAAAGAGAACCTCTTTAAGGAGATCAAGAACACGGTCAAGGAAACCTTGTTTGCAGATGATCCATTTCGGTCGTTTAAGGATCAGTCAAGGACTCGGCAGTTCATCCTTGGCATGCAAGCCATATTCCCCATTCTTGATTGGGGAAGAAGTTATGGTCTTGCTAAATTCAGAGGTGATCTCATTGCTGGTCTAACCATAGCAAGCCTATGCATTCCTCAGGTATAAAAAATGCTATGATGTAATGATGATGATGATGATGATGATGATTATTATTATTTACATCAACAAATGTTTAAGTTTGAGGTCTTGTTTGGTAATTGTTATTCAGCTCAAATTTATGAAAGAAGAAACATTTGGTAACAAACCTTTCAGGCAAACAAGTCTAAAGCTACTTATTCTGCCTAATCTATTGA